TAAATATTGAACAAAAGGGGGGAGAGGACCGACCCCTGAGGCACCCCACAAGTTAGGGGCCTAGGAGTCGACCTCTGTCCCCCTGCCAATACAGACTGCGTACGGTCGGTGAGGAAGGAGGAGAACCACCGCATAACGGTGCCTCCCACTCCTAACTCACCGAGACGCCGCAGCATGATACCGTGGTCTACAGTATCAAGATAACTTTGAAATGTTTGATAATGATTAAAATTAAAGATGTTATTTTTTTATATAGACAGAGATCCCTCCTGAGATCCGTATGGTTCCCATGCTGATGGCATTTTGGATGGTCTTGAAGATCTAATAGTCCTCTGAAGCCTTGGGGTAATGGAGTTGTTTCTTGGGTGTGGTTGTTTTATATCTGTTTTTGCACTGAGTGGCCAGATATTCCATCTTCTCCATCTATTTTGTATTTTGTTTTTATCTTGGTTTGCTAAATTATAAGCCATCCAGAGATAACATCTAAATCAAGTCAAATAAATAAATAAATATTGGTGTCATTTGCACATATAAGTTACACTCCCTCAGAAAAAGTGGCTTGGGTCTCTAGGAAGGCAGGTAAAAAGAAGCTTTTCAGTCCTGTCTGAAAATGTTAGGATGCTTTTAAAATTTTGTGTGATAATTCTGTGGATCTTAATCATGCGTATCATTTTGTTTATTCCACATATTTCTATTTGTATATTGTAAACTACCTTAATTGTCCATGGGACGGAGTGGTGGAGTAATAATGAATGAATTAACAAATAATATTATTTAGCTGGGAATATGTTCTAATCAATTCAACTAGACTTACTTTAAATATATGTATAGGATTATATGATAAGGTTACAATAGTATATACATTTACAAAGAAAAAAAATTCTACTGCACTCAGTGGGGCTTTCTGGACTTTTGGGGGGAAATGGTGAACTGAAGACATTCCTGCTAAAAAAGCTGAAAATTAAGCAAAATGAAAAACCAATGAATAGACTGGGTCTTCATATTTCCTCTCCAGAAAAAGAGAGCACTCAAGATCACTCACAAGTGTTCCATATAGTTGCTTCTCGCAAATAGTAGTCTCCAATGGATTTAGAACTCTGGGATATCAGATAATAGCTATCTGGCTTATCCCATGGTTGGCATCTTTAAAAACATTGAATTCGCATAATTCCTTTTTTTAATCACTTTCAGAAATTGTTTAACTGCTTTTTAAGCTATTAGGAAACTTTGCATTGCCAAGTCTGAAAAATTGGATGAGTTTCCTTTCATCCTTAGTGAAAGAAGTTTAAATACAACTTTAAGGATATTTTTTAAAATTCTGGAATAAAAAGCAAGAGGGTAATTACAGTTTTGATTTTAGAAAGTCCAGATAAATTTGAAATGAGATTCTGGAATTATAAGAATCCTTCCTGTGGTAAAATACAATTCCTTTGATTTTTTTTTTGTAAAAAAAAACATGATAGGATGAGACTTTAAAGGTTAAATTCTTAAGGGAAGTACAAGGAAGTAATGATTACAATTAAAGGAAAAGAACACTTACATTTGATTTACTAATACAAAATGGAGCAAAGTGTTTTAACATTCAACCTACCGAAGGATAGTATTTGACAATGGACCCAGAAATCAATTTTAAGGGGGGGGTCTGCCTGCGTAGATAGACTGCATTTATAAGTAAGAGGAACAAAATAGTAAAGGTGGGATAAAAATAAATAAATTTTACCAGACAAGACTGAGACTGATTTGAAAGTGGATTTTAAAATGCCAAGCTACAAGAGTGATATGGAAAAAGATCCTACACTGCACATACAAAATAAACCAACTGATGGCTTAATAATTAAAAGGGATATGCAAATAAACCAAGACAAGGCTCTGGTAATCTTACTGGACTTATAAAAGAAGTTTGTTAAACCTCTGAAGAACTTTGTGAAAAGGGACAAAGAAAAAAATGAAAAGCAATAAAATTTTAGGCCACTATTTGAAAGGACCAAATATCAGAATAGTTACAAGTAAAAGGAAAGAATATAAAGTTGGTTTATTTGATCAAGATTAAAATAGATATGTTGTTATCACCGGTAACCCTTAGTGGGCTTTTGCTGACCAGGACTGAAATGACTAGGTTTTAAACTATTTGTTTATAAATAAGAGATGCAATATGAGAACAAGACATCTTGTGTTGCATTTTAAGATGATGATTACTAACACTGTTTATACTTGTGATAAAAGGGAAAGACATTTCTTTATATATTTCTTTTATTTTTCTTTAATGTTATTTTTCTCTCTTTTCTATTTCCCTTTTCTTCTCTGCACGTTCTATTTTTTTCTTTCCATTTTTTAGTTTGCATTAAGTTTGGATCACTAGAAATGTTTAATAACATTACTATTTGAAAAAGAACTCAGGGGATTTTTCTATAAGAACAATATTACACTGCTAGAACCTAGTCTATAATTTGCTGTTTATGGTCTAATGATTAAATAATACAAATCGAATGATTTGAGATGCCCTATTTAAGTTAGCCATACTATTTAGTAAAACACAAATTTATTTTTCTTCTGAGAACAGTCATTTAGAATAAAAATCTTAAAAGTCTCCCATATTATCACATGACATATAAAATCTTTTAGCATTTTTATTACTCAAAACAAACAGCGATCGTGGAAATAATCTTTCTGAAGCATTTTTTTACGTTCAGCTAATTGTGTTTCGGACAAAATCTTTGGGATCACATAATACTGCACTGTAAAAGGAAACAATGCATAGAGGACAGCTGTGACTACAAGTCATGTTCCTATGAAGTCACAAGGGAGGCCACCTGAATGAAATGCCACCAGGTATGAATGAAATAGCACACGGGAGTCTCTCAGGCCTCTTTCCATTTGCTCATGGGTGCAAAATGGGCAAAGTTTTCTAACCCGATTAATCCCAAAATATCAAGGAAAAATGGCACCGCTCTGCCTGCTAATTAGCAATTCTACACACATTTCTAGATTACAAGGTTAGAAAAACGCTGGAAACAAAGTCAGTGGTGAAGCCAAGGCAATCAGAAGTAAGGTTGATGCTTCAACGGGAAGGCCAGCACAGTGAAGTGAGAAGGACCAGAAAGGAAAAATGGGCTGTTGAGAAGATCCACAGCAACCATCTGGAAGTCAAGGACATCTACTGAGGAACCTCAAGACGGATACCTTGGCACACATGTTCCAGCTGTTCCAAGCCCCTTCTCAGTCCCTCCTAAGAATCTGCCAGCTATAAATCTTTTAGGGGCAAAAAGCCCTAACCTCTATTTCAGATCATCTGCCTCCAGCTTGGAGAGTCCTCAGCAGCGGGTTAAGGACGCCTGAAACTATGCATGGAAAAAGCCGGTCTCCTCCTCTTCAACCGACTCACTCCACCGCCTGAGCAACCGCCACTTCTCCCTGCAATCCTATCTTCTCTTGCCCTCTTTCCTCCCGCCTCGCCCGGTCTCTCCTCGTCTTTTACATCCCTGGAATCCTGCAACCTTTTTCCTTAGATGCCCTGGGATTTCCGCAACCTGTCCCTTCCTCCGCATCCCTGACTTTGGGGAAACTTGCTCCATTCGCCGGCAAAGCTATGGGCACCGAGGTTCCCCTGCTTCCAAGATGCGCCCGTTACCTCGAAAAGCTGCGGGATCTCCCTCCTGGTCAGGTAGTCCTTGGCGTCGCAGCTGCTCATGCCGCCTGGCGGAGAAAGGGCGATGGCGCGCGATTGGGGCTAGTGCTGCTGGCTGGGCGCTTTTTAGCCCGGCTATCTCGGCTCTTGCCCTTCCCTCTTCGCCCCAGCGCTCCGGTCCTCGTTCTTGCAAACCGCTTTCTCCTGGAAAGCAAGGCGGTCAGAGACAAGCGGCAACCGCGGCAGCGCCTCCGCTTCCTCGCCCGAGCTGCTTTTACCCTCCCAGCCCAACCCGCGCGCCGCCAGTCAAGCTGGGGCTGCTGGAGGTGGGAGTGGGTGGCTGCTGGAAAGGCGCCGGGGAGGGAGGAGACTGGCTCCAAATCGCACGATCGCGCTTTTCTGTACACGCGCACACACACAGAGACACACACACACGCATGCTGGCACGTGGCGCTCCTTAAAAAAAGAAAAGACAGCAATCGAGGGGGAACCGGTCACCCGAGACTTTCCACGGGGTATGGGCCCTTAGAGCGTGGACAGGATCTCGTACCCGAAAGCCCGTCCCGAGGCGGTTTCCTCGCTCGCCCCCCCCCCACGATCGCCGGCCCTTTGCAAAGTTTACGCGGCAGGAAGTGAAGGTTCTGCAACCTCACGCTCAGCCTCTACGCCCGCGGCTGATCTCGGCTTCTTCCCTCGCACGGAACACAGTAACGCGGGGTGCGAGGACGTCTGGATTGAAGGCGAGGATGGGGAGAAGATTCCTGAAACGGCGTCCCTGCATTCGGGGGAGTGCCGCCATTATTCCCAAGGGGGAAGATCCACTTATGGGCCCTATTTGGACAATAATGCCCATACTGAAGGAAGTCTCAACATCTCAAGTTTGGCTGTTATTTATAAAGTAGAATTCTTTATGGACCAAGTATGGTTGGACACACAAGGAATTTGTTTCCGGTTCATAAGCTCTCAGTGCACATAGAAGCAACAGGTGATAAATCATGATCATAATCAACATAAAAATACGTTCATCATAAATCATAAGATAGAACAGTTCGTGATAGTCGTAGGGTACTAAGTAAGCAAACAACATAAATCATACTAGGATACTAAATAAAACAATATCAAATTTATATAGCCACCCACACCACAGACCTGACTCTGGGTGGCATATAATAAAACAACCAGTTAAAACAAATACAAAACAACAAGGAAAAACAATTTAGACACAAATATAAATGAGACCACAGGAGAATGGACCAAGGTGTAACCATCTTGGGCAGTCCCTATTTCTCTGGCATCCCCAGTGTTGAAAGAACCATGTTTTGAAGGATTTCCTAAATGCCAACATCTGGCTATTCTCACCTGGGGTGGAGAATGAGGCTGCAGAGGGCGGGTGCCACAGCAGGAAAGATCCACCTCCTGATCCTGTCAGATGGAACTTTAGCACACAGGACTCCTAACATGCCCTTCCTGCTAGACCTGATGGGACAGGTAAATTTAGCCAAGTAGACCCTGAAGTGCCATGGATGACGTTATAGGTCACTTACAAAATGTGGCAAGAAAAGTCATAAAATGGGCAAAAGTCAAATTTAACAAATTTCTCACTTAGCAACAAAATTTTGGACTCAAATGTGGTCGTAAATTGAAGACTACCTGTAGTCCATTTGGGAGAGACCAGGGCATGAAGAACTGTGAGCAGAGCCTCATGATCCAGGAACGTGTGCAACTGGTACACAACACGAAGCGTCCAACAGTTAGATAGGAGCTGGATTTGGGGGGGGGGTCTATGACAATTCGCTGTGAGACAACTCACCACAGCCAACTCGCCATGGCCAACTTGCTGCAGCCAACTCGCTGTGGGACAAGAATTACACTCATATCAAAGAAATGGTGGAATAGAATCATTACAGAAAGGATGCCGAAGGAGGGACAGAATGAAATTTGAATGGCAAAAAATTTAAAATAGCGATTCATTTTAAATAATTAAATAGAATTGTTAAATGGTCCCACAGCAAGTTGGCCATGGTGAATTGTCCTGCAGTGAGTTAGCCATGGCAAGTTAACCGTGGCAAGCTGTCCTGTTCCCGGATTTTGCTGTCATCTTATAGTTATGGAAAGGAAAGAGTGTCATTAAATTCAACCTGTCTTGCTTCTGGACAATAATAGAATTAACTTTTGTCCTCCCGCCCCCTACTTTTCCTTTAACTTTTCTTTCAGAATGATTAATTTCAGATTGCTCCCTCACTTTGGCTTTTAAATCACATCTAACAGCTCTTGCATACAGAGCATCTTTAATCCTTTGTTCATATGCAGTTTTAAGCAGTAGCAGAATGCTGGCTATCTCAGTGTTCCCTTTGATCATCAGTTTCAATAGTTTTATACTGATCTTTCATATTCTGGAAAGCTTTTTTTCTGTTTCCTGCTGTTGCCACAACAAAAGGGAAGGAGGAAAAAAAACCATAATGTATCATCTTTTTTTTTTCCAGATAAGTGACTTGGAGATGTGGCAAGTTGTAGTTGTGCATCCTTTCTTCTGATCTCCTGACTCTTCACAGCTTAGTTTTACTCCTGTGCTAGACATGGCGGAAGACCCACTGATGTGGCTCAACTACATTCAAATTTTGATTATAAGACAAGGTTGAATCCATATACAGCTGTTGATTTTTCTCATTGAATTTGCAAAATGAAAAAAAAAAGAACAGTTACAGCCACAGAGTTTAAACTCGTAGCTTCTTTCTCCTATCTTTCTAAATTAACTTGTATTTGGCATGGTGCTTGGTAGCCAAATGCTGCAGTTGTTCATTTTGGAGTCATCTTTGACAAGGAACCACTAGTTCCACTCACAATATCAGCCATGCCACTGACTACATATTAACCAATCACTGGCCTGAAAATATTTGCAACCAAACCATGAGGACAAGGCTTTGCTTAGCACAGTGGTTCTCAACCTTTTTAATGCCGTGACCCCCAACCGGTCGTAAGTCGAGGACTAAACCAGTCGTAAGTCGAGGACTAAACCGGTCGTAAGTCAAGGACTACCCAACCGGTCGTAAGTCGAGGACTTTCCCTGCCCGGGAGTGCCGCGCATGCGTGGTTCCGCCCCCTGCGCCGGCCGAGGCGTAGCTGGCAAGCGGCAGAGACGGAGCAGGCCGACCACCAGCTGGCCCAGCTCAAGGGAGGTAAGGCACCCGCCAGAAAAGGGGAAAAAAATGGACAGCCTTGCTTGGCGACCCCCGTGAAATGGTCGATCGACCCCAAATGGGGTTGCGACCCATAGGTTGAGAACCGCTGGCTTAGCAAGTGTCAAGCCCCATGCACCTGGCAAGATCAAGGATGCAAGGACTACACCGTTTTCACTAAGCTATCTTTAATGCTAACCCAGGATAAGTACAAAATCTTGGAAACTACGATAGGAATGTCCAACCTCTTTTATAGCGAGTTAAGGCAAAATATCTCTGAATACTTTGAAACCCTTTTTCCCAGATTGCTTCCCACTTGGGCTGATTTGCCCTTTTATAAAATAATCTGTCAACTGAGTCATCTACTATGAACTCTTCCTTTCTTTCTCCAGATGCCTTGTAGTCTCTCTTGGCAAGATACTATCAAGGAGAAGCAATCTAGAAAATCCAATTTATGGTCAGAAATCCCAATGTGGTGAGGTCAGAGTGGTATTAAACCGTAGTGAAAAAAGGTCCTGAGACAGAATTATTGGATGTCTCAAGGTAGAGATCATAACTGGTAATAAACTGAACTGAACTTAAAAGTGAAAGGTTTTTACTTCTGCCACAACCCATATTTTGTCCGCTGTCAGAATTCTCATTTCAAAGAAGCAGACTGCTTGCACATTAAGTACCATTTTTCTCCCCTGCCATCCCTAAAGATGAGGCTGATGATTTCTCCTTACTGCTAATAAACTCACTTACCCTCTTACTATATAATAACAAGGGAACAACTACAATGCGTACAATCTTCCTGCGGTAAAGTTTCAGTCTCTGCATTCTACTACCAGGTCCATTTCAATCTTTTTTATTCAGTAGGTGCCCTTGAAATAAGAGAGCCAGTTGGTGCAGTGGTTAAGGCATCAGGCTAGAAGCTGGGAGACTTGAGTCTACTCCCATCTTAGACACAAAGCGAGCTGGAAACCTTGAGCCAGTCACTTTCTCTCCACCCTAGAAAGAGCCAATGGCAAACCACTTCTGAAAAACCCTTCCAAGAAAACTGCAGGAACTTTTCCAAGCAGTCTCCGAGAATTGGACACTATTGAACAGAAATAAAATGAAACCCTTGAAATAATTTTCAGATCAGTAGGTACCTTTGCATCCAAATTATTATATGTATACTGTAGCTCACAGTAATTTTTTCCCATCACAATTTCTCCTAGAACTCCAGTTGAAAAAGGCTGGCAAAGATGAAAAACTAAATACATTACCGAGGCTAAACTATTTGTATTGATTTCTGGAGAAAATATTCTTTCATTTAAAAGTTACCTTTCAAATCATCTTCTACACCTTGCTTCTTTTAAAGACATGGGATTTAATTTTAAACAGTAGTAATGCCACCGATGATCACTGCTCATTGATAATCCATCACCATAGCATTCTGTGTTTGTTTCTGAGAATTTGAACTGTGTTAATTTCTCCCCCTCCATAAAAAAATCATACCCTGAATTTTAGATATAAGTACTCCTCGTTTAGCAACCATTCACAGGTATGACGGTGATCAAAATGTAACTTCGCAGCCAATCCTCACATTTACTACTTTTGTAGGACTATAAAGCAAAGAAAAGTTGAAGTAAGATTATAAACACAGTTGCAGTTCCACTTAGTCACCACTTCATTTAACAGCTGAGTTGCAACCAGTCCCAATTCTGGTTGCTAAACAAGGACTCCCTGTACCCGATTTTATCCTTTAGAATGTTTTAAAAATGCCTTCCATTTCTGTGAAGAGTTACTGATGGTTTTTTTTCCCCTTTCTTTCTCATCAGCATGCACACTACTGAGATGGATGAAGCTTCTGTGTTAGGAATTGGTAATTTGATGGTAAAATCTTATAATTTCAGAGTGTGATCTTCTCCTGTCCACAAAGGGCACTCAGGTTGAAGGGCTTGTCAAGTGATATAAAACTGTTCTATAAATCAACCGTCAAATATAAGAAAATAACAAACACACAAAACTTTATTGCTCAGATGTAAGAAATGATGCAGGGGG